TATGCATAGGTGTGTGTGTGTGTGTGTGCCTGCACACATCCATATGCACAGGTGTGTGTGTGTGTGTGTGTGTGTGCACTAGCAAGAGGATGCAAGGCTCTGCCTTCACCCCACTGAGAGAGCCGGGGCCCCAGACGGCAGGGGTGCTGGCAGCAGCGTCACTGTGTGCTTGTGCAGGGGGCGGGCGGCTCGGCAGAGTGTCAGTGTGTCTCAGCCTGTGCGGGGGTGGCTGCGTGGGGGCGGAGGGCTGCTGCATGCACCGGAACATGTGCGTGCCTGCCGCCCTGATGGCTTGCAGCAGGAGGAAGGAAAGGCTGTCCCCTCCCTTGTCCCTGCCACCCCGTCCTTGAGGACCTGCTCCCCAGCTTTCCATCCTTGGCCTCTGGCCCCTGCACATCATCTGGCCCCCTGCCCTGGCTTTGCCACTGCCCCTCGCTGTGGCCGTGGGCAAACCACTTCTCTCTGGGTATTGACTTTACCATCTGTGCTATGAATAAGACCGTGTCCACGGTCCTCCAGTTCTGAGGTTCTGGGAGTATGAAATATCCCATGTGTGCCTCCCACAGAGGGAGCCTAAAGAGGGCAGCAACTCTCATGGGGCGTTTTAGCATTTACACAGTTATTCCAATCCCGTTTCACAGGTGGTAAAGTTGAGGTACAGCGAGGACAAGGAATCCATCCAGGGTGGGCAGTAAATGAGAGGCAGAATCGTGCTTGGAAAATAAACAACAGCCCAGATTTCCCTCATCCCCCAGGCCACCAACCCTCTTCCTAGTAGTGTTCCCCAGACACAGCAGGAGGGGGCTGCCTCATCACCTGCCGCATGTGCAGGTGCTAGAGATCTCCATGCAAGTCTAAGCGCTGCCACCAGCCCCCTGAGCCCGTCATTCCACCTACTCAAGCCTCAGGCTGATCATCTGTGAGATGGGTAAGTAAGCCCTCTGCCTCCCACACAGACGAGCTCATGCACGGAGCAGGGGCTCACAGGTCCCAAAGAGCTGTGAACATGATAGGTTATTAGATGCAAAATAAAAGTACAACGCCCGTCTTTGGATGGTGTGCCCATGCCCAGGATCCCCTCTCTCCAGTGTTACATCACCAATCCTCCTAACAGCTCTGCCAGGGAAGGGCCAGATGGCTAAACGCATTTTGCAGACATCAGAGTTTAGGTCCCCAGAGGGGAACCTAAGCATCTAGGAACCTGGACACCCAAGTGCGGGGAGCTGCCTCTGGGCCCCGTTGTTGCCCCCTAATCAGCCCAGCCCCTGTCCGGTTCACGACACAAAGGCCTGGGCTAAAGAGGGGCAGCAGCTCCAGAGCCAGCCTCTGCCCTCCCTCTGCCAATGTTGCTGGCCCCTGGAACCCCTCCCCCAGCCCCAACACCCTCGAGTCAATTTCAGATCTCTGTTTCTAGAGAGAAAAGAATGGGCTGCACCCTCTCCATCTCCCTCCCTCCCTCTCCGCTCAAGTAATATCTCCTTGAGAGGCTCTCTCTGCGCTGCCTGGTGACTGCACAGGCTGCAAGGCCATTCTCGGCCTCCGTCACCTCTCCTGGCAGTGGGATCCAAAGCCCAGAGCAGGTCAGAGGCTGGAGGAGGCATCCTCCTCCTCCACCTCCTGGAAACTAACCCCTTCCCTGATCCTCGTCTTCGGAGAGCGGAGAACGCCTGTCGGGTCTGCTGGGAGCTATGGCCCGACTGCCCAGGCCCATGCTGACCCACCCTGAGCTGCTCCCTGCAGCCTGCCTCCCAATGAGCTTCTGTGCTCCCAAGGTCCGGGCTTTCATTTCTCTCATCCCCTGGGAGGAAGGAGGATGGGTCAAGGGAGGGGGGAGTGAGCTAGACTCTGGGTCCCAAAAGAAAGCCCCACCTCACCCCTCTAGGGGCCTGAAATTAACTCCCAATTTATCTGAGTCCTATGCTGCAGGGGGACCTTCCTCCAGGAGCATCGAGAAGCCCTTAGAAGCCCCTGCCCAGGGCACTGACTCCAGCCCGCATACGCCCCGCTGGCTGCCCACCTGGAGGGAGGGGGCAGCTTCTGTTTCGTCCACAGCCCCTGTGTACCCCTGGCTCCTCGAAGGGATGCCTGCAGTCACCAGCCAGGCTCATCAGGCAGGACACCAGGAAGCCCTCGAGAGGCACGTGCCCTCCTCTCCAGCTGGGCAGCCCGGGGCCTTGCAGAAGGAGGTCCAAAGGCTCCCATGTCCCTTTGTAGGGCCCATCCAGTTGCCTCTGCCAGTCACCCTGCCAGTGATCTGAAGTGGGCTCCTGGAACGGGGGCTCAGCTTCTGGGTGGTGACTGCCGTGTCCTGCCTGGCAGGGACCTTGAGTCACCAATGGAAGGTGGGCCCTGCGGGCATCTCCGGTGCTCCAGTCCCCAGAAGCACTCCTTTCTGAAAGGTCCAGCGTGCCAGGCTTGTCGCTACGTCTTCACGAGCACCATCTCATCGCGTCCTCACGGCCAGCTTCTCTCTCCAGATTATAGATGGGGAGAAGGGCCACAGCCTGCCCATCGTCACTGAGCTATAGGCGATGAGGTCCAGAGCCTCTGCCCTGTGCTGGGCACTGCCCCTACCTGCCCACCTGGCTGCTGGATTGAAGGTGTCACACAGAGCAGAAGACCCCCTCCCAGAGGCACCCTGGCTTTCTAACCCAGGCATCGGAGGCGAGGGTCCCTATCCCCTTTTTTCCAGTACAAGCAGCCTTAGCCTGAGGCCCGTCTGCAGCCTTCCTGGGGTCCTGCAAGCTCCTGACATTGCATGCAACATATTTTCAGTTTGCGCATTTTCCTGAGGAAAGTAGACTTAGCCTTTCATCAGATTCCTGGAGGAATATGTGACCTAAAAAAGGTTAAGAGCACTGATGATTCTGGAAGGAAGAGGTCTGAAATTGATTAGACAAGGCCTGGCCATGCCTGACACCCTCGGTTTTTCTGCCTTGGACAAACCAGGGCTCCCTGGCCCCTGAGGTGCTGCCACGGCCCTGGTCCCTCCAAGCACCCTGGCAGGCAGCAGGGCTGAGAAGGCTCTCTGCCAAGTCGCCCCCACAGCACCCATCTTCATGATCTCAATCTCTTCGTGGGGCAAAACATCACTTTTATTGTCATTCTGAGCACCTGAGTCACATTTGAACTCCATTGCACTGCTCTCTGTGACGCAGCCCTCCCAGAGCCGAGCCTTGGTTGCACCTGAAAGGCAGCTCCAGCTAATCAGGGAATCCTTGGTTTCCAGCGGGCACTGGAAGCCAGCTGAGAGGGGGGTCCCTGCGCAAGTCTGGCAAACAGCCTCCATCCTACAGAACAGCCCTAAACATTTTGTTCCTGCTGCCTCCCCCCAACCCAAAAACACACTCAGAAAGACAGCAACTCTGCAGACAAGAGTGAGCACATGTCTGCACAGGGGTGTGTGTCTGTAGGAAGGAGCTGGTGTGTGCCTGTAGGTGTCAGGATTGCCCGGTGTGCAAGTGTGTGTGTGTGCAGGCAGCCTACTGGTACACACCACAGGCCCACCTCCCACACATATGCAGACACCAGCATGAGCTCACAACACCCACACTTCCACCCAAGCCTGTGGGTCCAGCCTCAAACACACACATATGAACCTTCCTGTGTGCATGCCCCATGTCTTCACACAGATACGCATGTCCAGACCACCTAGGGACACCCTCTGCCTAAGTCCCAGATGTGCATCCTTCCACAGACATGTGTTTGCACATGCCCAGACCTCACATGCATTTGCCTGCTGATGTGCACACAGTTGTGACTGGCCATACATGTGATGCACGTTCACACCTTCACTTTCGTGCAAACCAGTCAACAGCACCCCTGTGCCACTTGCACACATCCACACTTGTAGGACACACTTGCATTCTCAGACTTCACACAAGAAGCACACACCAGCACCTCCTCCTGGCACACACCCATGAATACTTGCACATGCTTTCAGTGTACAGAGTGCAGCCCAGAGTCAGCCTTATACAACACACATCAAAATGCACACTTGTGTGTGCACTTCCAGACCTCACACCAGCACATACTGGCTTACAGGGGCCCTCTCCCCTGCACTCCTGCTGCTACAGCAGGACCCATGGGGGGCATTGGAGCTGCTTTGCCCACAGGGCAAACTCTACCTCCAAACTGCACCCTTACCCTGCATCCATCCCTGCATCTTCCACAAACCCTGCTGGGGGCATCCAGGAATGCTTCCCTGACACTCCACAGCCGACTGGGCTACCCCTAGGGGCTCTCCTCTCCCCCATCCTCCCACCCTTCTCTCCACACGAGTCATCAGAGGCAGTAAATGAGCTCTGGGGCTGGATAACTTTGCCAAGGGACCGGAGCTAGTGCACCATCACACAGCAGCCCCTGCAACAGCAAGGCCCCCTCCCAACTTGCCTGATTGCCCTTCCCCTCTTCCCAACATCCAGAAAGCCTCGCCAGTCACTCAGTTGTTAACCCCTGCCGTACAGATGCCCTCACTCCCATAGGAGCTGGGAGGGGGAGTGGGGAAGAGATGTGCTTACAGGGAGAAGTTAGCCGTTCCACATATTCGCTGAAGGTGTCTAAAATCAGGAAGGACTACCTGGGAGGTGATGAACTCCCTGTCATAAGAGGTATCCAAATTGATGCCAGATGGCCACCTCAAGAGAAACTCACAGGGAATTCCAGCTTTGGATTCAGCTGACGGGAAAATCCCTTTTTAACCCTGAGTTTCTAAGAATCTGTGTGTGCCCAGGTCATGTGCATGTGTGTGCGCGCGTGCATGTGTGTGCACTGGCATGCACCATCAACCCTTCACCTCTATACACACACTTGTCCAGATGGCCTTGGCACATCTCTGTACCCACAAATATACCCATGCCAGTCTGGAAACTGCACATGCAAATGCCCCCAAACACAGACAGCCTTCCTCCCTGTGTGAGCACAGGAAACAGCACAGGTGCACACCCCCACCCGTGACACCGACCCCCTGTGCCCTCCAGACTCTCTAAGGTGTAACTCACTTTCCCAGTTCCTCGAAGAGCTGATACTCTTCCGTGAAGCGGGTGCAGGTGATGGTGGCCATCCTGATGCCGTGCAGGCAGGCGAGGCTCGGGGTTGGAGGACCAGGGCTGGGGCACTGCTGTTCTGCTCTGGGAACCAGGGGCCACTCGCCTGCCTGTGCTGCCGAGTGAGAACCTAGAACCAGCTTGACTGACGAGCCCCGGGCTTCTGAGCTGGGCACTGTGGCTGCTCACAGCCTCGCGAGCCTTCGTCAGCATCCAGTTCCCCATGGCAACCACCTCGGAAACGCCCTGTTCCCGTTGCCCCGGTAACTGCCTCCCCAACACCTGCCTGCCTTCCACTGCAAAACCTGCTCCAGGACGCCCTGGCCTGGCGGAACACGACCTACTGCAGGCATGTGTGGGCCCGGGGCAGGTAGACAAAGCACCCCCTCCCCAGAGGTGGTGGACTGGGGGAGGGGCTGCAGGAGGGGGAGGAGAACAAACTTAGTCCACAAGTGATCTGCTCTCTTCCCACCTCCCCCACCTCCAACTGTGGGGCCCTCAGATGGCATTAAGTGGGGCAAAAAGGCAGTTGCCATGTTAACTGTGGGGGCCACATTCTGGGATGGTCCCTAGGAGAGACAGGATGCAGTTACCCTGGCAACTTCAGCTCCTCTGGAGAGACAGGTATTGCCCCGTTGCCCTGGCAACAGCCGGGTTCTAAATGTTTATAGGGAAATGATGGCTAATTCATTGGGATCTCTCTCTCTCACTGTAGTCTCTGTAACTGTCAGCTCCCTTCTGTATTTTTTTTTTTTTTTTTGCTTCTGCCTCCTTCTTATTTTACTGTTGCTCTCTCTGCTCTTTGTCACTCTGTCCAGCACACTGGCACTCTAGTTTGGGGAAGAAGTGCAGAGGAGACGCCAGAATTCGGGGGGGGAACATCCCTGGCTACCCGCTCATTTCCACCTTGCACAGCCACAACAGTGGTCCCCTCCTGAGGCTTCTTCCATAACCTCTCCCCCAGCCCATGCCCCCGAGGGACCGTGAGGTCTGGCCTCCTGGGGCCCTTGTCCCAGTTTCTGCTTTGTGCTTCAAGTCAAGGTGAAAGGGTGGAGGAGGCGATGGGGACGGGAGCACGGCCTGGCTTGGAGGGACGCGGCTCTGGAACTGCCCTGGAACCCTCATTCCCAAATTTCGTGAGCACTCTCCCTGCCAACTTCAACTCTTCGGGGCAGTAGCCATATTCTGTGGCCCCAGAATCTCACCCCAAGGCCTGGGGGGTTGAGAAGGGAGAAGACTGGAGTTTAAGGATCTGAATTTAATGTCAGCTCTGACATTTGTGGGCTGTGTGACCCTGGGAAAGTCATTGCCCCGCTCTGAGCCTTCAGCTCCTTTTCTACAAAACAGAACAAAGCTGCCACTGCAGAGGAGGGCTGTGGAGATGGGTGGGCTCGCGGCTGCGGGGGCCTCTTTTGAGTTTCTAGAAGAAGAAGGAAGGTCTAAAGCAGGACCATGCCCACCTGCATCATTCCAGCTTGAACTTGGAATCTCAGACCCTTGACACCCTCCCCCTCCACTCAAGCACATTTCTCAGCCCACCAGGCGGAGGTCTCCTGACAGCATTTTTCCACAATGAGCACAGGTCGGATAACAGGACCCTAACCCTCTAGGTTTCTAACTCACCCCCTTGGAACCTCCAAATTGCCTTACTGGTCACCTCGTTTGCTGGACACAGTGTCTGCTTGTTGGCAATCCCCAAACCCAGCAGGTCCTGGACTCATGTCCTTAAGTCCAGGAGCCCCTGCAGACATTGGACAGCTCCTCCCCCCAATTCTACTCCTTTTCCTGGAAGTCAAGGGTGGGAATGATGGGGTTGGCTCTCTGATGCAGCCACTTCTTCCCTGGAGAGAAATGGGAGGGAAAAAAGAGAGGAAGGAGGGAAGCAAGCAAGGGAGGAGGGGTAATGGCTTAGCCACTAATTGCACCATTACCACCTTCAGAAAAAGGAAAAACCACTCAGTTTTGTTTCTCTGCATAATATGCTTCCTGCTTCTGCCGCCAACGTTGCAATTCAGAGGCAAAGAAGAGAAGCCTGTGCTCTGGGCTCACAGCCGGTGGGCAGCAGGCAGGACACAGAGTATCACTAGAGGCTAGATAAGGAAGTGGGGGTGGGGGAAGGGCCGCACCAGCTCCCCCTGCCCCAGAACTTCTAGCCAATTCCCAGAAGGGCATGGCTGCCACACATGAAAATGCTGGGACAGCCCTTAGTGACCATTGAGGGCACTCCAGGAGAGAAGAGAGGGCGCAGTGGTCACAGCAACTTCACGACCTACAGGCTGTGTGATTTTGGATGAGTATTCTAACTTCTCTGTGCTTCAGTTTCTTCATCTGCAAAGTAGAGTTAAAAATATTCCTTACCCCAGAGCTGTTCTACAGACTAAATCAGATGAACACAGAGGCCAACTCTGGAAATACTCAATAAATAGGCGTTATTATTATTATTGAGGGACCTTAAGACCCTTCTTCACCTTGTTGTCTCTGCACCACAGAAGCTCACACCACCATCTTCAAGTCCCAGCACTTTGGGGGTGTCATTTCTCTGAGTCCCCACTGGAGCTGAGTTCATGATTTGAACATTATCTTGCCCAGGCCTGGTTTGCAGCAATTCCTGTAGAACAAAGGACCGAGGCTAGAGGGAAAGGGGTCACAAGGCCTGAGGCTATATTAATGAGAATCTAATGTTCTGAACAAAGGAGGTGATGGCTTGGCTTGGCGCTGGCCTGACCACCCTGGTTTCTCCTCCTCACCTCCCCCATTGAAACGGAGCCGCTCAGCAGAGAGCAGAGCACATGGGGGGAGGTCCCGGCATCATCACAGGAAAAGCCAGCAGTGACTCAAAGGACACGAGGGATGGACGCATAGAAGACCAGCTTTCCCCCCGACTCTGACAGGGACCACGGAGGCGGCCAGCCCAGCCCCACTCCACCCCATCACCACTGTCACCATATCGGTCCGTTCTTCCCCACTGCCATCCCCATCAGCTCTCCTTTTTCCTTCCTCACCTTTCCCCGTTTTCTTCCTTCCTCCCTTTGAGCCCTTCTTGCTCAGTGCTCCCCATTCCTTCCCATTCCTTTCTACCTCCTTTCTCGTGTCCACCTGACTCCCTTCCTTTCCGTCTCCATCGCTCCTCTCTGTCCCAGTGCTGGCCAGACCCTGTGCACGGGATTCTGGCGGATGGGCAGGACCCAAGCTGCAGGGTCCTGACAGAGAGATGGCTGGAGAGGAGGGGGAGGGAGGAGAGTCAAAGGTCTCCCGGCAACTCTCTTACACACATACACATACACATACACACACACACACACACACCTTTGGGAACTGAGCACAGGGGTGGGCACTGGCTTGGATGGGCACCCCCATCCAGCATTTAACTGCCACCCTGCTGAGGAGGCACCATTAATTCACTGTGCCCACGAGGCTAGCAGCTGTGCCCAGTGGTGGCGGGCAGCGAGGAGCTGGCCCTGCCTCCGTGGCGCTGATAGAATAAGCTGGTGATTGCATCAGGGGAGACTGTTCCTGCCAGATTCTCCACTCCCCAGGGCCATGGTGGGCATGCGAGCTAGCACGTGTGCCCTCATCTGCAGCATGTGTGTGGTCCCCAAGAGCAGGACTGCATGCCACGGGCTGGTGGCCAAGGGTGGGAGCCCTCCAGGTCACTGAGCATAGCTCTGACATGCTAGGCTAGGAAATGTGGAAATGAATACAGGCTGCACCCCTTGTGTATGGGGACGGACAACTAGGGACGCGGGCCAAGCATCTGGGCCGCGGTAGAGGTGGGGTGGAGGCTGATCGGAGCCCCTGTAGCATCGTGATGACTGATTCAAATCCCACCTTCCACAGCCCTCACACATACTCACATGCACATGCCCAAGTGCCCTGGGGTCCTGCAGGGCTCAGGCAGGTACCACAGAAAATGTTCCATCCAAAGGTACCCACGAGGCCTGTCCCACTAAGGGCAGTGAGCATAAGGGGCAGAATCGGTGGAAAGTGGGCCAAGAGAGAAATGATCCGGCAGAGGGTCTAGGCAGAGGGTGATTTGGTTAATTGGTTGCAATGAGTAATGCCAGGCTTGCACTCAGCAGGGAGAGAAGTCAGGGGTCAGGGAGCGGCACTGTCCTCTGAGATGTCCCACATAGGAGGCATTTCCTGCAAGGGAGAGGGAAGCAGGGAGCCAAGGGACAGAGGACAAAAGCTGCTGGGCTGGTGTGTGCACAGCCAGCCCGCGGTTAGAGGACACAAGTTCAAGTCCTCCCATTGGCGGTGTGTGCTCGTGGCCCATCTTTTCCTCACGGCAGCCTGCGTTTCCTCCTGAGAAATATGGGGACAGGATGTTCCTTCGCAACTCCAAGAACATGAAAAATAGTTATTTCCACTTCAGAGTCAGGCCCTGTGCGAAGCACTTGACATTTTACACTATTTATACCTCACAATGAATGTCCATGAGACAGGTACAGTCATTGCCCGTTTTGCAGAGATGTGACGTGGCTGACCCGTCTGGGGTTTATGTGACTTCGGCACCCTGTCCTGTGTGCCTTGGCCTCCAGGAGGGCTGGGAGGGCCCTGAGGGAGCCATGCCCACTGGAGCTGGGAGACCGAGGCAGAGAGAGGAAGCTGCCTTCCCGCGCAGTCACACGTGTCAGAAGCAGAGTCAGGACCGTAATCGGAAACCCCCGACTCGAGGAACAGTGCTCCTCCCCTTCCCCTGCTCTGCCTTCCCCCTTTCTGACACTGAGGGCTGCTTGCCTAGGCCCCAAAGTAGCCAGTAGGCACCGAGAGAGGAGGAAATGGTGCCAAGGCCCAGGGTAGGGCTCACAGTCCCTCCAGCCAGGTCTGGGGCTCTCTCCTGGCTTCTAGGAGGCTGGTCATCGCTGTTCAGGGCCCAGCTCAGTTAGGGCCACCCCTGGCTCAAACCCATCAGGCTGGCAGACCTGCTGCCTTCGGGTCCAGCCAAGGGGGAAAAGGCTTGTCCGGCAGTCCTGGTCTCCACCCACCCCGATCGGTGACCCAAGAGACCAGAGCTGCCTCTGGTCTATCTGCCACCCAACTCTCCCCACCACAGGTGGTGATATGAGTCAGAGGCCTGACACAGAGTCCAGACCAGGTGCCCTGGCTCAGGGGAATGCAGGGGCCACGAGAGGCAGGGTGAGGCCAGCAGGAGCCATGCTGACTGCGGGTCAGAGCAGAAGTCATTGCAAGCAGGCTGAGCCTCTTGTCACAATGTCCCAAGTCCTGACCGCTCCTCATTTGAAGCCGTCCACCAATCTCAGGTCAGGGCCAGCGCCAGCGCCCTGGTTAGACAGACTTGGGGACTGCTGGGCTGTGGACCAGATCACGGGCTAAAGCTTAAGTGGGGCTTCGGGGCTGCTGCTGGGCTCTGAGTTAGGTAGGACTCAGTCAGGTGAGCTCTAGTCTGGGTCCTGATTTCTCAGGAAACCAGGAGCGGAAGCCAACTCCCAACCCCAACCGGGTTCCCTGTTTGGGGCCAGTTGGCCAAAGGGGTGGCCTTGTGTGTAGGAAAGAGCAGAAAGGACATTTTACAGTTCTGCACTTGTGGCCCCAAAGGGTAGGGGCCCAGGAAGAGAATCGGGGCTGGAGCTGAAGGCTGGGGCACCTCAGGCAGGGCCAACTCAGCAGGCATGGGCAAGCCTGTTACTCAACTGGTACAGGCCTAGGGCCACAGGGGAGCCCCGGCTCCGTGTCACTCTGGAAGGGCCATGCCCACACAGCTGAGACAAGCCCCCAGCAGAGCTGGAGTATCCTGGGTAATAGGCAAACTGTGGAAAACCCCGCCCTGGGAAACATTGGGTCTGGGACACCATCCCCATGGGTGCTTCTTCCAAGCCCCCCTCCTGAGCAGGCAGAAGCACTGGGGCTGGCTGGCATCAGAGGCCTCAGCCAGGCCTGTCCCTGCCCACCATGGCCCTGGCATCAACGTCCTGGAGGAAGGGTTCAGTTGTGGGAGGGGCAGGGTTGGCAGGAAGGAGCCCAGGACATGAATGGTCACCTGCTCCCTGCAGCCCCAGGACAGACCCTCACTCCTGGGCAGTGTCGATACAGCTCTTAACTAATACCCAAACCCCCTCCCCGGGACCGCACCCCCCCACCCCCCGTCCTGCTCATCCACAAGCTGACGAGTCCTAACAGGCCTCCTTTGCCAGAGACAAAAATAACTATTTTCAAAATTCACAGCAGGGCTTTCGCCTACACACGCTGTGCCGACTGGAACCTGAAGGGAGACATGCAGAACGCAGTGTGCGGATGGAGGCACGCTATGCAGCAAGGCTCTGAAACCCGCACACCCCTCCCACCACCAGCGTGTCCTCCAGCCCCAACCCCCTCACACACAGGGGAGCCTGGGACGGCCCAGTGGGAAGGCTCTTAGATCACCCACTACACACGGGGGCACTGAGGCCCAGAGAGGGTCTGGGATTTGCCAAAGGTTACACAGTGGATCTGGGCCAGGACAGTACCGGAACCCGCATGTTCTGCCTCCAGGCCAGGCAGCTCACTTCCTCTCCCATTCATTTGGCCAGAGGTGAGCTCACACCTGCCCCCAGGACGCACGTGCACACACCCACACGTGCTCACAGACAGCACCACAGCCCTTGCTTCTGTTACTGTATTTTAATCAAGTTCACGGGCTCCTCCACCACCACTAGCCTGGCCAGTCCTCTTCAGCCCTGGGAGGAAGGCGGAGCCAGGGCTAGGATCCCCATTTCAGGTGGGGAAATTGAGGCCCAAAGGTGAAGGACTGGCCCGAGGTCAAAACAGAACCCAGATGTCCTGGTTGTTGGTTTAGGGGCTCTTTTCATAGCTGTGTCCACCCCCTCGGCCCTGTAGCAGCTAACAGCTGGGCCGATTCCCTGGGTGCTGAGGAAAGGAGGAAAGCTTTGGCCCCAGGCCATGTAAAAAAGCAGGAAGGTCACCTCTCTGGGCCCCTGCACCTCTACCCAGCGCACTTGGGGATCTCTCTGGAGTGGCCAGATTGCCATGTCTCAGCTGGGTTCCAGACCTGGACTTGCCTCCATGTGGCCCCGCAGAGGTCAGGGCTCAAGGATGAGAACTTAAATGAGCTGGGCGGTGGTGAGGTCCCAGGAACTCCACCATAGCACCGGGAGCCAGGTCCACACCACAGAGCCACATCATTACAGCTCATTCCACAGATGAGGACAGCGAGGCCCAGAGAGCTTGTGCAGGTCACCTGAGGTCACAGAGCAATGGGGAGGCAGGACTGGGACCCAGGCACCCCAGTCTAGTTTATCCTACTCCCACCCCCAAGCCAAGCTCCCCACCTTTCAACTGAGGGGCTGTACACCCTCCATTTCCCTGCAGATGGGGATGTGACCCCAGGACCCTCCCTGGGGACGAGCAGGACCAGGCTTGAGTGGGGGAATACATTTAGAAGGACACACACACACACACACACCATCAGATCCGGTGGGACATCAGTCTGGTGTTGAGTTTACGGAAAAAGGATCGCAGCTTGCAAATCTTGCATTTTTTCTTGCGGCGACCCCGGGAGAAGCTTCGAGACCTGGCTTCTTCCTCCTCCTCCTCTTCTTCCTCATCACTGGCCCAGGGCCCCCAAGCACCCCCATTAAAGTCAGGATGGGCCCGAGGATTCTCTGCTGGGTAGCGCACCGGGATGGCTGTGCGGTTATAGTCCACCAGGCGGGCCAGCAGGGCGCGGACCACATCAGGCCGCTGGCCAGCGAGGTCCTCACGTTCATAGGGGTCAGCACTGATGTTGAAGAGCCACACAGCCTGGCGGGCACTGGCCATCCGCTCCAGGTTCCACCAGCTGCCAGGGAAGGCAGCCAGCGTCTGCGGTGGGATCCAGTCGCCATAGCCGGGGTCCCCCGTCAGAAGCTTCCACTCGCCCACACGGATGGCAGCCTGCACAGCAGTGTTCCAGATGCCGAAGCCACCCTCGAGGGAGCCATGCCGCGCGTGGTTGTAGAGCGGGTCAATGTTGTGCAGGATCTCTGTGCGTGGCGAGGCCCGGCCCTCACTGATGGCTGGCCACACGTCATAGCCATCTAGCCCATCGGCCGCAGAGGCAGTGCCACCCGCCAGACCCACCAGGGTCGGGTACCAGTCTGTGATGTGCACCAGTGCCCGGCTGGTCCGTCGCTTTCGCTTGAGCAGGGGGCTATGGACAAAGCCCAACCCCCGCACACCACCTTCCCAATAAGTGCCCTTGCGTCCTCGCAGCGGCCAGTTGCTGCCCCCCGAGAAGGTCTGGCCACCATTGTCACTGGAGAAGATGATGACACTATTGTTGTAGAAACCATAGCGCTTAAGGGCCCAGGTGATATTACGCACAGCTTCGTCCATGCAGGTCACCATGGCCGCATACTTCCGCCGGGCCACATTGCCCATGGTGCGGTAGCGGTACAAGTACTCACGAGGGGACTGCAGGGGCGTGTGTACTGCCTGGAAGGCCACATAGAGGAAGAGGGGCTGCCGGGGGCTGTGGTTGGCTAGGATGTGGCTGACACGCTGGGCATAGAGCATGGTGGAGTACTGGCCACTGAGCCCCCAGGCCACACTCTCACCCTCGTGCAGGTCGAAGCCACACACCCCAGGGCCATCACAGTTGTCATAGGTGTAGTAGTCCACATTGCCCGTGAGCGAGCCCAGGAAGGTGTCAAAGCCCCGGCGGGTGGGCAGGCACTCCTTCCGGTAGAAGCCCAGGTGCCACTTGCCCACCATGTGGGTAGAGTAACCTGCCTCCTGCAGCTTCTGGGGCAGGGTCACCTGGTCCAGAGGTAGGCAGTTGGGCTGCCGAGGGCGGATGATGGAGTGCTGAAGTCCTGTGTGGATCTGGTACCTGGTGAGAAGAGTGGAGGGCACAGAAGGCACAAGTGAGCTACAAACCACTGCCCTGGCCACCCAACCCCCGATACTCACCCTGAAGCGGGCTCTGGTCCCAGCGTCACCAGCATACATAGTAATAGTAACAAATAGGTATTATCAAATGTGCTAAGCACATCATATGCATTATCTCTTTGAATTGTCAAAATCAATTGAAGCAGATATTATTTTACAGATGAGGAGACTGAAGCTCAGAATGACGAAGCCATTCACCCAAGATAACACAGCTAGGAAGCTGGAAAGTTAAGAGTCAAACCCAGGTTCATCATGACAACAAAATACTTAACACAAGTATTCACTATGTGCTCAGTATTACACTAAGCCCCCAAATGAATGATCTCACTAAATCCTAACCACAACCTAGGGGGTGCATATCATTATTATTCCCATTTCCCAAATAAGAAAACTGAGGCTCAGTAAAATAAATCACTTGCCCAGTGATTCATACAATTAGTAACTAGAGATGGGATATGTATCCCTGGCAGTCTTTAGAGACTTCAGAGTCCCTGAGTTCTAAGCCACTATCTTGTTGTGGGGCCTAGAGAAGTCCTGCTCTCTGAGGCAAACTCCTCATACTCTTCAAAGCCCAGCCCAGATGTTACCCCCAAGGTAAAGTCTTTCACGAGTCTTTCCAAAAAAATGAGTTACTTTTGCTTCTGAGTTCCCCCAGCATTTAGTACCCATGATCACCGTCATACTTGGCCATGAAGTTCTACTCAGTGTACATGCTCTTGGTCCCAGTGATACGTAACGGGGCTTTCCTTTACTCAGTGTCGTAACCCTAGCACTCAGCTGGTGTTTAAAGAACACTCAATTACTTACGGAATGAATGAATGATACTCGGAGGATTTTAGAGCCAGAAGGGACCCAAGCCATCTTCGAGCTTGTCCACCTTACTTAAAAAGGAGCTAAGAGCTAGAGGAGGAGAAGGGAAGGGGCTTGCTCAGGATCATTCAGTGGTCAGGAGCAGTGCCAGGACTGGAACAGAGGCCAAGTACAGACTCTTTTCTGGCAAACTAGGCTGCCACTTCTCTTCCCCCGTGTGTGTATCTGGGGGGACACCTGAGCTCAGGTTGCTCATGCGTAGGAGTGAGTTGGTTGAAATAGGAGGTCTTTCAGAATCTTTCTAGCCCTGGCTGGGTAGCTCAGTTGGTTAGAGCATCGTCCCTATATGACAAGATTTTGGGTTTGATTTCCAGTCAGGGCACATACAAGAATCAACCAATGAATGCATAAATAGGTGGAACAACAAATCAATGTTTCTCTCTCTCTCTCTCTCTCTCTCTCTCTCTCTCTGAACAATAAAAAAAATCAATAAATAAAAATCTTTCAGTTCCCAAATTATATGAGACTAGTTCTTCTATACCTGTCTGTAAGTTCATGTGGCCCCTGTGTTCATGTGATCCCTGGATCTGGGTCAGTTACACAGGCTAACACCCTTAAGCAAAATCAAATGGTTAGCAGAATCCTGCATTCCTCGTTTTGCATTCATTCATTCAAATCCCATTCCCTCTGATGTGGTAAAGGCCCCTATGTGATCTGCTTATGGGGTCCTGCCTTTCTTTACTCAAGTTTTAAAAATCCAGAGTACCTAAGAAGCCTGGAACTTCACAAGTGTATTAGAAGCCCACACCTCCCCCACTCCGGGGTATCCAATTTAAGTCAAGACCTGAATAACTGAGACCTTTAACCCAGGCACTGGGGTGGGTTTTTCTGTAACTATCATTAGCTACTACTGCCATTTATTTTTATTTATTTATTTTTTAATCCTCATCCGAGGACACTTTTCCATTTTTTGTACAGATAGAGTGGGAGGGAGAGAGAGGAAGAGAGAGAGAGGGAAACATCGACGTGAAAGGGACACATCGAGTGGCTGCCACCCGCACGACCAACCAGGGCCGGGGACAAACTGCAACCGAGGTACATGCCCTTAGCGGGAACCGAACCCGGGTCTCTCCAGACCGCAGGTGGATGCTCTAACCGCTGAGCCAAACCAGCCAGGGCTATTTTTATTTGTGTACTTATTTATTTAGAAAAGAGAAAGGGAGAAGCATCAATCAGCTGCCTCCAGTATACACCCCAATGGGGGATCAAACCCTTAACCTTTCAGTTCATGGGGCCACACCTGCCAGGGCTACTGCCATTTTTTAATACTATATGCTACATACATTATTTCACTTAATCCTCATTAAAAAAAAAACAACAAAAAAAACCTACAGGGAAGACTATTATTACCTTCATCCTACAGATGATGAAACTGAAGCTCCCAAAAATGCGGCCCCGGACCAAGTGCAGACAGACAGCTGGCAAGCAGTGGAGCTGATCTTTGAACCCAGCTCTGCACAACTCATGCTCAAAACTTCTCGGTGATGCGGACCCAGCAGACCTCAGTCAAGCTAATGAATGATTAGATTGGATACAAGCAGTACTCTAGAGCCTTGAGTCAGGGCCAAGCCTCTCTTTCTAGGGGCTGGGCACTGTGGAGCACTGTTGTGTAAAGTGGGTGGCTGGCTCGGAGTCCCTGAAGCCTGTGTGCAAGTGAGTAACATGAGAAACTCTGGCTCTCTCCAGCTTCACCAAACACAACTGGATTTATTAACAAACACTAATGAGAGTCGTCACCATCAGTCAGATGGAGCCAACTGCAGTGGGCGGACGGAGGGCAGGCGCTAACTGCACAGATCAGGGGGCTAGAACGCTGCCCTGCTGGCTGCTCATTCCCCTGCTGAAACCAAAAGTCACCTCTTGAGACAGAAATGCTGACTTGTGCACAACTCCTGAGAATGCAGATTCCTCCTCCCTCTTTTTGAGATTAGTCACCGTATGGTCTTCACCACTGCTGCCACCCGCAACCGTAGCCCCTCTTCCTCTTTCTCCAGGTCTCTCTCTCTGTTCCTAGATCTAAATGCTGAGTGCCAGATTGAAAGAAGAAAAAGCAGCTATTTGACTCTGAGCTCCAGGACCCCTGCCAAGTACCTGGTCTCTCAGCCCCCTTTCATACAGACCCGGAAGTTGGGTATCGGCATGAAGGAGTTGGGCCCTGCCTGACTCCTTGCCTCAGTTTCTCCCATCCAGGAATCAGGGAGATTACGACTCTGGTTCCCGAGATCACACTAGTGGATTTCGGTGGAACTGGGGAGAAAGCAGGCTTTGGACCCCATCCAAGGAGGATTAGCTTCAGCCTTGCCAAAGGATTTTCTCTTAAGTGGCCAGAGTTTGCTTTCCACACCCCCACCTCCTGTTTCCTGCTCTTTTAATCCTGTAGCCCTGCCACCATGCCTCTGGACAACTCCTTACGGGAAAGCGGAACGTCTCCTTGGGACTCCCAGCCAATTTGGGAGGCTTTCGCAGATGAGAAAACAGATGCTTGGAGAAATGAAGTAACTAGCCTAAGGCTACTTAGGTTCCAGCTTCCTGTGTGTCTTTCACCTCCACCTATCAATTCTTTGGTTTCTTCCCAATGTGGTCGTCAAACAGTTTAGGGACCCTAATCTCTCTAGTGACACAAAGGCTGCCATTTATTTTTTTTTATTATTATTATTTTTTTTTATCCTCACCCGAGTACACTTTTTCGTTTTTTGCTCAGATAGAGTGAGAGGGAGAGAGAGGAGGAGAGAGAGAAACATCGATGTGAAAGGAACACATCGAGTGGCTGCCACCCGCACGACCAACCAGGGCCGGGAACAAACTGCAACCGAGGTACGTGCCCTTAGCGGGAACCGAACCCAGGTGTCTCTGGACCGCAGGCCAAACCGGCCAGGGCAAGGCTGCCATTTATTGACAGCCAAACAGGTTACATGAAATTCACTCCATCCTTACCACTGTTTCTCGAGGTAAAAAGTGTTCTTCGCCCCATTTTATGGACAAGAAAATTGAAGTTTAGAGATATTCGGTAATTTGTTCAGGGCCCCAGGGTGTGTAACTAGAAGCACCATTCAAACCTAAGTGTCAGAAACTGCCATGTTCCTTTAACAAAGAGATGACCAGAAGTCTCCGTCACATAGCGTGGAGTGTGAGTGTCCCAGAACACCAGAGGGAGAAGACCTAAAAGATGATCCCAACCTTTCAGTGTGCAGGCAGGGAACCTGAGGCCCAGAGAGAGCAAAGCCTTTACTAATGATCACACAGCCAATTCGGGAGTCCTGGTTTTCCAGGTCCCAGAGGGGTGACTGTAAATGCAAAGGAAATCTACGGCTGGGTTTATTTAGGGCTTGGAGGGCCAGCCCCAGCAGCATGGGCCATGCCTACCTGCCGGTGAGAAGCTGGCTCCGTGAAGGCGTGCAGATGGGCTGGATATAATAATTCTCCAACTTGACACCCTCGGCGGCCAGCCGGTCCAGCGTAGGGGTCTCGATATCTGAGCCATGGTAGCCCACGTCGTGGTAGCCCTGGTCGTCGGTAAGGATGAAGATAATGTGGGGAGGCTGAGGTGGAGCGGCAGAGGGCTGCTCACTGGCCTCGCCGGGCCCGTCGGCCACCAGGCTCGGCTTGGCCCAATCCCAGGACAGGTAGCCAAAGCTGAGCAGGCTGACCAGCGAGAAGCCGGTGAGGGCGTGCATCGCCATGCCGTCCCGCGCGTCCCAGCGCCAAGGGCTCCCCAGGCCTCACCGCCGCGCGCGCCCAGGGCGCACGGCCCGCACGCCCGCTGGCCGGCCGGCCTGGACGCTGCCGGAGCGCTCAGCGCCCCCGGGGGCGGCCCAGCGAATGGTCCGGGACTGGAGGCCAGACGGCGGGGCCGGACCTGCGCGGCCGCAGCGGGGCGCTCTGGGGAGGTCAGGTCCGCGCCCTACTGCCTCCTGCCAACCTCTCGCCCGCCCTGTGCCGCCCTCGCTCCCTCTCCCCCAGCTCAGCCGGGCCAGCCTGAGACGCGGCGTGGTGACTTCCAAAAAGTGCTCTCCACCATCCTCGGACTCTCCTCTTCCTTCTAGCCCTCGATTTCTCCCGCCTCCTAATTTCTCTCGCCTCTGCTTTTCCTTTCTCCTCCCACCCCGACCCTGCAGCCCCAGGCCCGGCCTCTCGCCCCGCCCGGAGTCTTGAGAACAGTCAGCCTCCCTGCAGGAAGGTGGGCAGGACCCCAGCAGGGAAGGGGAGGGAGGCACGGGTTGGGCGGGCCTGGGGTTGACACCGCGGGAGAGAATGCGAAAAAGTTGTAACATCTGCCGGGCCGAGCCCCAGGTGGAGGGGCGGACGCCGGGAGGCGGCTCCGCCCCCGGGCGGGAAGCCCAGGCCCGCTCGGCCCCCTGGCTCCAGCCCCCGCCCTGGCCGGGACTGGGGAAAGGAGGGAGGGGGCTGCTTGGAATTCGATGGAATCGCTCCGGAATGGCCCGGTCAGACATTCCTCGATTATAGAGTCTTAGCATCTCTGAATGCCAGCCCTGGAAGGGATGCACATAATTTTCTATACCAACCGGATCATCTACGGTGAGAGAAACTGAGGCTCTGAGATGGATGGAAACTCGTTTAAGTCATGGAACAAGTTAGTGGCTTCTTCCTTGTGGCTCACAGTGGCTGTTTGAGTGACAGTAGAGAGAGCAATGGAGAATGGGAGCTGGAAATCAGGAAACTAGGATCTGGCCTTGCCAGCTTCCCTCTCCCAAGCCCTCCCCCAAGCCCCTCATTCTGCAATTCACAACTGGAATCTTAGAATGCCAGGGCGAGAATCCAGAGGGCAGGGGCCCTGGTATACATCTTGTAGCCACAGGATCTAGAAGCTCAATCAGTATATGTAACATGCATGAATAAATGGATGAAAGGGCCTCAGGGGCCATCCAGACCAACTCCCACCCAAGAAAATCACTGCAGGGAAAGCAAGAGTGAGGGACTCCTGGGCCAGGCAAGTGTCATGAGTGAGTAAAGCAAGAGCCCACTGTATGGCCAGAAGAAGGCAGTGGAAGAATGTGGACCAGTATATCTTCTGATTTTTTTAAGAAAACCCAAATGTAGTCTATTATGAGAAATATCCCAGTGATTAAGTGCTAGTAACTAATTTAAAGCAAATTTTAAACACTATGCAGGCCAAATCAAACCTATTTGAGGACTATTTTAGGCCATTGGGTGCCCGTTTGCAACTTCTGCATTGTTTTCCAAATTTTTACTAGGCTACATTTCTAAATGGGAGAACTGAGTTAAACAAAACCAGTTAGGTTTCTGTACTACCAGGACTCAAAATGTTTAATATGTTAATCCCCAGGAGGGAGGTTGGTGAAGCTGTATTTCCCAATTACATGTGACCAAGGACCCTGTTTTTCACAAGGCCTCTCGAAGAGCCAGTGTTTTGCAAACTTTGGGAAACAAAGACTGGCCAGGTGTCTTCTCTCCTAGCGCCTTTCCCCAGCCAGTGTTCTGTCGCGCAATCTCTTCCCACTTCCTTAAAACCACTGTGTGTGGGGAAAGACACCAGACCTCTAAAATAGCTGCCCGAGTCGATCTGCATTTGGAAATGAGGGCTGCGTGGGGCCGTTGCTCCTGTTTGCTGAAAGGCCCATATTTAGGGTGACCAGATTTATCAAAAGGGAAAACTGAGCTTGTTCTGGCACAAGAAATGTTGAGGACACAGGAAACATACAGCCCCCTGAGGGGAAGGCTGCTAAAAACGGTGCATTGGCACAGGCTATCCTGGAGGTCAAAGGGGGACAAGTCACATGGACTTGGGTTTTTCATTCTTTGCATTGTCCCAGATCTTGGTCAGGAGGAACTGGAGAAATGTCACAGGGATAAATGGCAAGGGGAATGGTGTGGGGATTCAGCCTCAAAGGAAAAGGGTCTAGGAGACACACAGGCTGCAGACCTCTATGAGGTTGTCACAGGGACAAGACGAGACAAGCAGAATTTCTGTGAGTTCACAAGTGTGGGTTCTGACATCAGACTGCTTAAGTTCCAATATTGCCATTTAATTGAGGTCAGGCTTTGGGCGACTTATTTTACCTCTGTCACCCTCAATTTCTCCATCTGTAAAATGGGATAATAATATAAATGAGATACGATATAGTGCTCAGTAAAGTGCCCGGCACATAGTAAGCACTCGGTGAATGTGAGCAGTTTTCATGATTGTCCTCCGTGGTTCTGAGAAAAAAGACAAAGTTCTGTGAGTGACAGTGACTGGGAGACAGATTTCAGGCCAATTTAAGGGATTACTTTTGTACGTAATCCAGCAGCTTGCTTAATAAAAGGATGACAGTGTTGGGTGAATCACCATGTGGAGAAGAGTGGGGTAGAGCTCTTGGGCCTAACTCTTGTTCCCCAATAGTCCTATTTTTTTAAGAGTCCCTCAATAATCACCCAAACCTATAGTGGCTTCAGAGGGCACCATTCCCCCCTCTAATGTTCTAGGGAAATAAATACTGAACCTCAACTCTTCTTTTAATGCCATTACACAATGGGGCCAGGCTGGAACATTTCAACCAGGTATTTCCAAAGGCTCAGGGTTGACAAAGGGGAAATAGCTACAAAGAGTAATGTGAATTCAGGTCACATCGATTTTAAGATGTGGCTCACTCATCTTCCCTTAGTGTCCTCTACACGATGCCTACCCGCCTTCTCTCTTGGGACAATGTCCATCAGCCCTACAGCCACCTAGAAATACTCACAACTCCACGATGTATCAATGTCAGGCCCAAGAAGTAAGTCTCAGAGAAACAGCTAGCTTTTGCAGTTTCTATCTCAGGACCTACCTGCTTCCAAGATGATTGACAGCAGGAATATCCACCCTATGCAGGTAAGATCTATCCACCCGTTTACATAGGTGAGCACTCACTCCATAACCCCCAAAGGACAACTGCATTAAAACACTGGGAGAAACCTAACATCTGAACACGAAATGCAGATCAGATGTGGGAGGGTTACAGTGTGGTTACTTCCTGTCAGAAATTTCCATTGATGAAATCAGACTTCAAAAAGCACTGAGCTCCTCACTGGTCTTATACAAGGAGGGGATAAAGTGTCCATCTGTCCAGGAAGTAACAGAAAAGATTCCTGAACTAAAATGGGGAGCAAAACTCAAGGACTTTTAAAGTTCTTTCTAACTTGAAAATGTTATGATTCTAATTATTTACCCTCAGAAAACTTTTTATAACACAGAGATATAAAAGTGAAAAACTGGGCGAGTCTGTTTTGTGGCTTCGTCTTTCATTGCTATGCGTGTGTGTGTGTGTGTGTGTGTGTGTGTGTGTAGGTGTGTGTGTATGTCCGGTCACCTTTGAACTAAAATTATTTTAATACAGATATTATTTCCTTCTGACTTCATTGACCTTGGCAAAGATCTTATGCCCAGATTATGCATGCTGTCATCCTCTGGAGGTCAATTTGTCTAGGCTGAACCAAATCAGGGACCTAAGAGAAAATATAGAAGGCCTCTGAGCAGTCAAAAATGTCAGAGTTCAATCCTTTAACTCGGAGGAGGGCTCCTCAGACTTTCCTCACTCCAAGCCTATAGACTCTTACTTCATGGGCAATTCTTACGAGGCTTATGATTGCATTTCCCAACCCGAGAAGAGTAGGAGCAGCTCAGAAAGCATATATAAGAAAGTGGCTTGAGGCACAGTTTCAAAGTGAAACATCAGGGAGACACAAAAGAATAAACATAAAAATCAGACTGATGAATTCCAAAAGGCTAGGAGTTTAGGGCCATTTGGTACAGGAGCAAAGAACCATATCTACCTGAACAGACCCAAGGGCATCACCAAATCACAGCCCAGCCGAGAAGTGAAGGATGGGTTGCCCTCCAGAGTTTAAATTCAGTTCAGGATCCTCTTTCCAAGAAAGCTGGGACAGACATGGGCTGTTGTTTTGTTTTTGTTTTTTAAGTTTTCCATCCCAAAGTGGTTACTATGGCAAGTTTATGGTATAAGCTCAGCTTCAGTTCTAGAACATCCTCCCTGGAGATGCAGGCTTAGGAGGTAGCAATGTCTGCAGTGGGTTCCGTAGTAATGAGGATGCTAGAGGTCAGGCTCGGAAATCCAGCAGCATGCTCCTCCCCAAAGGCAGGCCTGGCTCATCCGCCTCCTGCCTCCTCTTAGCAGCCCTCAGATGCCAGCATGATGTTCCCTGTACTTCAAGCTCCAAAGCCTCTGTATCTTGAAAGGGCGAGTGGCCCTTGGGTAAGAAGCATACTGAGTAGAGCACAGAATTCCATCTCTGGTGCCCTTTCCAACGGTTAGACCGTATCCTCCTAATGAGTAGCTTCTCTCTTTGAAAAAGACCTCCACTAAAGAAAATTCCACAGGTTCCCCTGGACACCTAATCTAGTGACCGCTGGTTTTCACTTTAACTCCCACGCTCTCAACTGTTACTGAATGATTAATGGAAAGATTGGAGGTGTTTAAGAAAGCCATGCTGGCTACGTACGTTATGAAGAATGTATTGCAAAAGGCCCAGTTAAATGTCCACGTAAGAAGGCCACGTAGAGACACGCCTGCCCAGATGAGCTGTTCTCCCCAGTGGGCAGGCTGCAGGGCATCTGAGGCCCAGTTCTCTCTGGATATTACTTGGGCAAAACGGCTCTAAGAGGAAAAGTGTTTTCTTCTTTGATGCTGGGGCACCTCGTTAGCATTTCCGGGAGAGACACACATTCCCCCGACCCTTGCTTCTGGTCCTCTCCGTGGTCTCACTGAGTGCCCTT